TGCAGCATTAAATTATTCATAAATTATTCTCTGTATATGATGAAAATTTACATACATTTTATACTCCTTATAATTTTGTAGAGTGTGGCCAGTATTCCTTTCCACCTCCCTTTGTCGGACTTATACGAGGGCACTTCCATTTGTCGCGTAAATATAAAAACAAGGTTACACATACGTGTATATGTTTTTAATTATATTATTTTGATTGACTCTGTTCTGTATACATGTAGGATTTTAATTCAGCCGGAGCCCAAAATGAAATGTGTTCCACTACTTAAATTTATTGTCAATTAATTTTTAATTTATTTATTTTTTATTTTATCTTTATTCATGAATCTGCTTATTGAAGCTGAGGAAAGAAAAAAGGGGGAAAAAATTAATTTTAACGTAGCATATATATCGGTGTGGGTTTTTGTCAGTGTGGGCTTTTATCAGCGTGCGCTTATAAATGTTGGCTTTAATCAATGTGCGCTTTCATCGGTGTGCGTGCTAGTCGCGTGGGCAATTATCCCAGTGGGGTCTTTTTTGTGAGCTTTTGTCGCGTGCGCTTTCGTCCAGTGGGCTTTTGTCTGGTCACCAAATCTAATATATATTTTCTAATAGACTTTCTTTCCTTTTTATTCTTCCCAAGTCTAAACAAATTGAAATACGGTATTTAAAAAAGAAAAAATCTTTGAATTTAGCTTTAGAATTTAAATATGTTTCCAGAAACAGAACTAATCAGTGAGTTTGCCTATATATCAATTGCAATGTAAACATGCTTATAAGCCTATACAATACGCAAATAGTTATAAGGAAACGGAGTTATTTTGAAAAGTATCGGGAGAACAAACGGCCATTCCGACGATTACATAAACTTTTGCTCATGCACTTGGATTTAAAAGTTAAGAATATTTTACTGATGTATTAGTGGTGTACATATGTTTGACACTTGTGTGTCTCAAATGTAGTTGCAAACATGAGTTTAAGAAGTATTAGCATGAGTTTAAGAAGTATTGATCATCATTTTTAAAAACGTGCGTGTTTTAAAAAAATGTTATTGAAAATGGTTTTGGTTAAAAAAGTTATTTTTCAACAAGGTCAGAAATTAAACTCAATCAAGTATTCGGAAATGTTTGAACGAACCACCAACATTAAAATTTCCTGACATCAAATGCTTCGTTGTATATCCGTTGGTCCTCTTGGTCATGTAAATTGATGTGTGTTTATATGAAAAGCTAGACTGGATTTACATGCCTTTCAAATAAAGTCTAGGAATATAGAATGCTAATGCGTCTGAAAACTGGTATCTTCAAGGGCATTGCAAAGGTTCGTCGTGGTCATAGTCTGATTACTGCCTAGGTATACAAAGCCTCGGATATTAGGAGATCCCCCAAAACATTTACTAACTCCCCACAAACCTTATTTTTTTTTACATATAAAAAGCAAAGTGGGGTTGACTACTTTAAGAACATTTTTTGGAACCTCGTAACTGTCTCGATTACACATTGGGAATGAATGATAAACACTGATGTATCATAACATGACAGTAAGAAGAGTCGGGAACATTTGAACTGAAGCCACTTCTGTCATAAAAATAGTGACCTCTTAGCCTTGAACGTTAAGAATGCAACAAGCCAAATACAGCTACATTTTCCTTCCGGTAAACCGTCTGTAAGTGAAGGCTATCCAAGAAAGTTATGCTGAGTAATGTAGTCGGGGTCACAAGTCCGATAGCTGTAAAATATTTGCGTGCTACTAACTGCGATGTTTTAAGTTGAAGGAAATGTATGTAATTTATCTATCTTCTTATAAATGCAACTAGCACTAATTGGATGATTTCGTTATATAGTTTAATTTTGAGCCCACTTCTGCTGCCAGCAACAGTTATAATCCATCCCTTTTGAGTGACGTCTGGCTCTTGATAATTGCCATTTGATGAGAGAAATGATTACAGAAAGCGAACTCCTTACTTTAACAAGACCGCTAAATTTTTTTTAACGTGAAATATATTGACATACGGCTTTTTTTCTGACCTTAAGAGAGAATAATTTTTCTAAGCATACAAATGACATACCTGAATACTGTTTTTCTTTTTTTTTTTCTTTTCTTTTTTAATAGTTTAAATCCATTATTTATTTGCAACACGAATAAATTAATATATCCCTTCGACTTAAAGCTGCCCTAATAGCTGTTAAAACTGGTAAAATTAGAAAAATCATAAAAAATAGGAATGATTTTGTAACAGATACTGAAAAATAAAGACTTTTTGAAAAAGAAGAAATATTTTTATTTGCCTAAATAGCTGGATGATACTAATCATAATTATGTAAATGAATTAAGCTACCTAATTTATTGAGAGTATTTCTGAGATACACTATTTTCGCCATCTTTACTTTCATAGTCTTCACTATTTATTAAATCACAGCACATCATCTTTTGTCCCAGTTAAATAATTAGAAATGCAATATTTTTAAAGTTTTTATAATTCGATTAACCCGATCGTTTATGAGTGGGAAATCGGCAGATGACATGATAAAATATTTCTCTAAATTTAACTCGCACCCCAGTTTAAATTTTATGTTCTAAAAATTTTAAAGTACGCCAAAATTTGAAATCATACGGTATTCATGATACTAAAACTAAATTTTTACTATAAGGCTTCAGTCCTAATCCTCCTTTTTTGGAGGGGGGGGGGTTAATAGGAATAATAGCGATAAATGTCATTTAAATTATAATGTTTAAATGACATTGCTAATGTTACATTTAAATTATAATGACATTATGATTTAAATTTTTTTATTTAAATTATAATGACACAATTACATTTAAATTGTAATGACATTATAATTTAAATGTAACTATAGTGTCATGGTAATTTAAATGTAACATTAACAATGTCATTTAAAATACCCTTTCTCTCTTAAGTACATCAGAGAGTAAAAATAGTAGTCATCAAACATTGAAATTTTGTACATAGAACTGCTATAATATGTAGATGCAAACTTTATATTTTGGTTGCAGTAGGCTGCACCAAATGAAATTTTGTATATAGAACTGCTATAATATGTAGATGCAAACTTTATATTTTGGTTGCAGTAGGCCTCACCAAAAGTATATTAAATATATGTATATTCCACTCTTCAGTGATCTCAGTTTCTTTTCTTATATGTTTGTAACTTGTGCATTTTTTGCTTTAACTAAAAATGATTGAAATATGTTGTTCTTATCTTGCGGTAAAGGTTTTTATGCCTTTGGTAAATCTGCATGCAATATTTGTTCAACAATTTAAAAGTTAATTCAGAAATCAAACAACAAAAATCAGCGTTATATTTTCAAATTTTCACAGGACTAGTTTCGTTGGTTTTACCGAACCACCATCCTCAGCTGCAAAAGCATAAATATTTTCCAGGATATTAATATTATCACTGGAGATGAGTGATCACGTAATTGGAATTTCTAGTGATCTCATTTAATGTTACAAACATGTGAAGAGTTGTGTTCCCAGTGAGAAGGGATGTCATGGTGAAGGACTTTCAATGAAATGTGCATTCGTTTTCACTTTACACGTAACTAGACACCATCGAACTACCTTTGAATTCCTTTCTTGGTAGCCAGTATTTTCGCTGCGAATCAAAAACTAGAGTCAAACTATATCAGCATTCAGTGGTCTTTTCTGCAAAGCCATTGATGTCTGAAATTTTTATTTTGGTGGTAATTTATTTAAAACTGTTTTTCTGATATTTCTGGCCCTGGTAGTTCAACACTGGTTTGAACCTCCGCAAACGGGCTTGGTGGATAACCCTCGCGTAACTGATTAAAGATACATACTAACGTAATACAGAGTTCAGATGTTAGAAAAGTCTTTAGACAAGTCATTAGAAATTTTTGGGCTTTACGTATCGTTCACGTAATATCATATTACTTTACTGTGAGAGACATATATCATCCGCTTGGCTTAGAAAACGATGATTTGATACGAAGATATCAAATCTTTAATTTTATTTTTATGCGGCTTGGCAAATATCCATCTTTTAGAGTGTTGGTCATTCGGCATGTCATAAGATGTTTAATTATCGTTCAAATTATTCGTGGTATATCTAATGAGAATTATAATGTTTTACTTCATCTGATTAGTCTAAAAACTAACAGACGGGAAGTGAGTTATCGCTATGTTTGAAAACAATGACAGAGTTTTATGAAGTATATAATAAACCTTTTATTTAAATAAAACTTGGAACATAAGTGCACGCTCTTGTGCTACAAATAACCACAACCCATTGTAATGCAGATAAATAGAGCAGTCCAAATATATAACTTTCAATAGTAGTCAAAGGCTATATAATTAAATACTCAGCTAGGAGCTAGCTGCAATACTATATCGGCGCGTCAGTAAAGTATCAGCAGCGAGAGACCGCAAAACCGCAGGCAGGAACTAATCACGTCGCGCACATGCCATGCCAGAAACATTCTATGTTTCAAAATCCAAAAAACCTTAGCTTAAATACTCACAGTAATTTGCATTCTAGTGAGGATTACGGAAAGAGAAGATATAGTTAAGTCTAAAATTATAATAACTGGTTAATTAACATTTGATACCCTACAACATAATATACAATATTTATATAAATTTTTAAGTACAACTGATAATTTTTATGAATATTTAATGCACTGTTATATTAGTAAAAGATGCTTTGCTAGAAGAATGATGCATTATTTTCATGTGTTTAACTAAATAAGTCTGCAAAAAAGAATTTTTTGTAGAACATCCTAAGTTATAAAGAAAACGTTATAAAAATATCTCCAGCTTCTTATAACGGAAGGAATTTTAACAACATTAATTATCCAAAATGCTTTTGGTATTTTTATTAACAGTAGAACCTTTTGCTTTAATGTAAAATATAATTCTGTGTTGCCCTGAAACTGTGAAACGGTCCTGAGCGTTATTGTTGTAGAAATTAAAATTATTTTAATATGTAAAATATGTTAACGGATTTTTTGAAATTAAAATAATTATATTGCAGATAAGTATGGACAACGATGAAGGTTTCACTGAAGTCGGGTGAGTACACTTTATTCATAAATTCCGTATTGTATTTCCGAAATTCTTATTCTTAAACAAAATTTCTTTTTCTTGTAAATATCAGTTACAATTAATTTTATACAATCCTGTTTTGTATGTTTAACGTCATTAATTCTTCATACATAATGCTGTTTGCTTTGCCTCAAGTGCTAAAAACTACAATATCCTTGTCGTTGTCATAAGTGTTTTATAGATAATGAAGGCTTTTCATTGAAAAAGGTCAAAATATTATTGGTTAATAGTATCGAATTCAAATTCGATGAATTACTCTGAACTAGTAGTAGAATTAGATAAATCGCTATTATTTCTTAAACAGTGAGATACTGTTCTACGAATTACAAAACACAACGTCGGCAGATGATGCTGCATAAAATCCGCCAACAGAATCCTCTGTTTAGCAGTAAGAAATAACAGTAGAGTTTTTAAGGTTGTGTGAAGTTTATGCGTACGTACGTTATATATATATATATATATATATATATGTAATGTTTTCAGTTATTCCATCACATCTTGGGCGAATGGTGAGGCTATTCCATTACACGTTCTGGCAGAGGGTTGACGAAGCTGGGATGATTGAAGTACGGAGAAAAATGACGACTCAGGACTTTTCACTTTTAACAGCAAGCATATCTTTATTTTAATTTATAGCCGATGACTTTTTCCAGATGAAGTTAATCAAATAACTTATTCAGTAATTGAATCAAATAACTTGAACTATTAGATACGACTGACTTTAATACGTCATAATGTTCTAACAAAGAAAGAGGAGCATAGCGGAAGCGTTAGCAGGACGAAGGCGAGAAGGCATCTGTGTAGGAGAACTTATGACGCAGCATTTATATGAAAGGTTATGTAACAGAGTAGCTTCTAGAAAAATGTAGAAAAACTTATGACGCAGCATTTATGTGAAAGGTTATGTAACAGGCGCGAATGTTCTAGCAGGTACTGGGTTAGGGGACGATCCTGAATTGCAGAAAAGTAATTAAAGGTTGCTGGTTCGCAAAGAGCAAAGCCATCGTATTTTTTTTTTATTTTACATCTCCCCCCCCCCCCGTCAAAAAGAGAGGCCGGGGTGAGAAAAGCATTAGTACAGGAGTGAAGCAAAAGTATGAGAAAAGACATGAAAACATCCAGAACATAGCGTACAAGCTTTAACTATGGCCTATCATAGTTCATGACTTTCTCATATAAAATTTTGACTTTATAGCATATGAAATTTTGAACATTAAAACAATGAGTTATAAATAAATATACAATATATGACTAATTTTAAGACTATAACATAATAAATATGGAATACTGATAAATAAATAAGTTATAATTACAAAAGTCCTCAATTTTGTTAAAAATGTCCTCTTTTTTTTTTTTTTTTTGAAAGTCCTTTTCATAAAAAGAGTTCGAATAGAATGAAAATATCTGGTAAAATCTCTAAATGCCAGATAGTCCACAAATATGATGCATGTTTATAGTTCACAAATATGATGCATTTTTTCCTCTCATCGTAATTGACATGTTTTACACTTCAATACAAAATATTATACTTATTCAAAAAACAATTCAATATAAATAATACAATTATACACTAGAACATGAACACTTTGACTTTAAAACTATGGCATGTCCTCGCCAACAGATCAGCGTGATTACTTGCTGATGGTTGGGGGGTGCTAGGTACAAATATCGAAAAACCTCCGTTGCCTAATAGAAGGTAATTGGTTTACACTTCAATACAAAATATTATACTTATTCAAAAAACAATTCAATATAAATAATACAATTATACACTAGAACATGAACACTTTGACTTTAAAACTATGGCATGTCCTCGCCAACAGATCAGCGTGATTACTTGCTGATGGTTGGGGGGTGCTAGGTACAAATATCGAAAAACCTCTTGCCTAATAGAAGGTAATTGGTTTTTGGTATTGTACATTACCTCAAAGTGGTTTTAGAAAAATAAAAGATCATATAAAATCAAAATTATAAGACGGATAACTTGTATAATCAAGTTAAAGTCTTTTTTATAATGTTTGTAAATTAGAAACAAATATTATTCCTACAATAAGAAGAAAATTTTTGCTACAAAATAATTCAAATTATGTGAAAGATATAAAAGGTCAAGATCGGGAGAATAATTTGTCATAGTCGGGAAAATAACTTGTCATAGTTAGGGTTTAAGTCTAAATCAGGTATTAAAGGTCATAATCAGGAAAATGTTTAAAAGAGAATTTTTAAAAAAAATTAATTTTAATTTTGAACAGAGATAGGAATTCTACTATTTCGGACAGTTAACTTAAACTCACTTGCTGGATTAAAAGGTCTTAATCTAGTTGAATGAACAATTTCTGATTTCTTTTTAGTTAAAGGATTAGGTTTATCTATTTCATAAGTAACTTCAGAATATTGTTTTAAAATTTTATAAGGTCCTGAGAATGGAGGAGATAATTTACGTGTATTAGGGTATTGAAATTCTTCATACATTACTAAATCACCAATTTTAAAATTACTAGGTTTAAAATGAATATCATATCTTTCTTTATTTACATTATGATAATCATCAGATCTCTTTTGAGCTATTTTTCTGGCTTCTTCTATTGACGGATACAATTCTTGATTTTGAATTAAGGAATCATAAGGTAATTTTCCATACATTAAATATGATGGAGGGAATTTTGTTACAGAATGAGGGGTATTATTATACTCTTCAGTTACTTGGGGTAATAATTTTGTCCATGCTATATTACCGTGATAAGAATTTAGTTTGCATTTTAATCTAGTTATAATAGTTTGATTAACACGTTCAATTTTACCATTAGTTTGGGGTCTATTTGCAGTAGTTAGCAATTGTTTTACATTATGATTCCTTAAAAAGTGCTTAAATTTTGAAGATGTAAAAGCAGCGTTCCTATCACTTAAAATCTTTTTAGGGACCTGAATTTGGAAAATTTGTTTTAAGCAATTTATATAAGTATCTGTAGTTACACTTTTGGAAGCAAAAGTCCAGATATATCTAGTTGCATGATCAATAATTATGTGAATATACTTTTTAGTAGAATTATAATAATTTAAACCACCTACAGTATCAATAGATAATATTTCAAAAGGTTCACTAACTGATGGTAAATTTTGCATTAAACCAAATTTCTTTTGTTTACTTTTCTTATTAAACTGACATACTTCACAATGTTTACAATAATTTCTAACATCTTGAACAATTCCTGGCCAATAATATTGTGGAGATAACAAATTTAGCATAGATGATACACCAATATGACCAAATTGTATATGGGCCTTTTCAAGTAATTTCGTACGTAGAGACATGGGTATCACAATTTTGTACAATCCCTGTTTTTTAATAGTTAAGACATCATTCATTTTCCTATACTTAGTATTACAAACATTATCTAAATTTTGATATTCTTTTATTTCTTCTAATGATAATAAATTAACTTGCAATCTTAAATGTTGACACATAGGATTTCTAGAGAGCATGTCAGCTTCAACATTAGTAGATCCTTTTTATATTTTATATCAAAATCATACATAGATAATTTTAAAGACCACCTAAATAGACGACCAGTAGGGTGTTTTATATTTTTAAGCCAAACTAAAGCAGCATGATCAGTATGTACAGTAAAATGGTTACCATGTAAATAATAATAAAATTTATCAATTGCATCATTGATCATCATAATAGATAAACATTCCAGCTCAGTAATGGCATAATTTTGTTCATAAGATCTTAATTTTCTAGAATGAAAAGCAATTGGATGTAAACTACCATCAGGATGTTCTTGTTTTAAAACAGCACCAACAGCTTCTTTGGACGCATCAACAAATACATGACAGGGATATTTAGGATTAAACAAAGTTAAAATAGGTCTAGAAATCAATGCATCTTTTAATTTTTGAAAAGCTTTTTGACATTCATCAGTCCAATTATAAGGAGTATCTTTCTTAAGTAAATTTGTTAATGGGGCTCTAATTTTAGCATAATTTTGAATAAATTTATGATAAACATTAATACTTCCTAAAAATCTTTGTAATTCTTTGATATTTTTAGGGGGTTGCAATTTCTTAATAACCTCTATATTTGCATTACTGGGCTGGTATTTACCTGCTTGAATTTCATATCCTAGAAAATTTATTTTTTCTTTAGCAAAATTACATTTAGATTGTTTTAATTTTATATTCTCTTTCTCACATATATCAAATATTATTTTAAGATGATTTAAATGTTCATCAAAATTTGGAGAGAATACTATAATATCATCAAAATAATTTAAAGCAAATTGAATCTGATATTTGTTTAAAATTTGTCTAAGAGCTCGTTGGAAAACAGCTGGGGAATTTTTCCAACCAAAAGGTAATCTAGTAAACTCATACAGTCCAAAATTTGTAGTGAATGCCAATTTTTCAGTATCCTTTTCATTTAATTTTATATGCCAATAGCCTGATGCCAAATCCAATGTAGAAAAGATTTTTGCATTTGTTAATTGATCTAATACAGCATCAATTCTAGGAATAGGTTCAGAATCAGTTTTAGTAATTTGGTTAAGCTTCCTGAAATCAATACACAATCTGCTTCTGGACTGCTCGTCTCGCTTATAAGCTAAAGTTACAGGAGCAGCATAAGGACTATAAGAAGGTTTAATAATTCCAGCTTTTAACAATTCATCTATTTGTTTTTTAATTTCACTATTATCTTTAGGAGATGCTCTATATGGTCTATAGGCTATTGGTAATTCAGAAGTTAATATAACTCTGGGAGGTTCAACCCTTATACAACCAACATCATATTTACTTTTTGCAAATATATGGATTATAATCATTCAACAATTTCTGTAATTTACTATCAGAATTTTTTACTATTTTCAAAATAATTACCACAATTTTTAGAACTAAGATCATTTTTACATACAAAATTTTCGCTATTATCAAAATATTTACTAGATTGTTCAGCACTGATATCATTTTTA